CAACCTCTCAGATTTCCAACTAAAACCCCAAAGTAAGCTTTGCCCCTGTGTTAAACCACTTCAGGTTGAGGAGTGGCTGGGAAAATACTGCCCAGGGTGAGCACTGGGGACTGAAGGGCAGCACCTCAGGACAGGGAATTATTGAGCAAGACTGTTGTGCCCAATAAAATAAGGGAAAGAGCTGTTTCTCCATGACACTTTTATAACTTCTGTGCATTCTCAGTACTGCACCCTGTTAAATTTTTCAAGCCCATTACTTGCAATTGCTTTGCCTTCTTCTGTTAGTTAAAAAGGAAAGAAAAAGGTAATACACCACTGCAAATACTTGATCTTTAGAAACTGTGCTCCAGGTAAAAACCAGGGCCTGCTCTGTTAATAATTCAGTCAGATGGAAAGTCGAGAAAACGCTGGCTTGTATCACCACATTAAGGTCTTATGAATAGAGGGTGAACCTGGAAAAACATTTTGCAGTAGAATTTAAGGGCAGAGACTAATTTTGTTCCCACTGATGCCACAGACTTGTCCTGCCTTCCTCAGGAGGAGAATTAGGCCAAACCAAAATAGGCCAGTCCAGTATTTTCCTTCAGTGCCATATGCAGAGAAATGAAAGAGGACGTCTAAAGAGCCAAACCAAATTTGAATAAAGTTGCAGGGTTTGAAGCAGCAGAGAATAAGAGAATGGGGTTCAGGAGAACTTTCAGGTGGGGACCTCTCAGCCCTGCATGGAGGAGTGTTCTGCTCTGACCTTATGGAGCCCATTAGTGAAGGACTTAATTACTCAGCTACAGGAAAAGAGGGAGGCTGGGAAGGTCTTTGAATAACTCAGCACATCTGCAGGGACTGGTTCTTGGCCAAGGTGTCCCATGGGGTCTCTGTGCAGAATTTAAGCCCTCCCAGCCTCAGGGAGGCACCACTAGCTACCAGTTTGTGACAGACCAAAAAAAACCAGTTCCTAAGCCAACTCCACGATTTCCTTTGCTCTTGCCCATCTTTCTTCCCATGGTGGCCACGTTAATTGTAGAGACAGAACAAACAAAATATGGATGTTTTTGCAGTGGCCTTGCTCGGATTTCTGTCCTGCTAGAGCAGATGTGGGGTCTGGCTCCTTTCCTTCCCACCTCTTTGCTCTCCCAGGAGCCCCACAGGCACTGCCAGCCCTCATAACACAGACAAACCACCCCAGCTCCAGAGTCCCCTTGTGTGCAGAGCTCACAACTTATTTTTAAGAAGGATGTGTTCGAGGCACGACCCTGGTAACGACTTAACTGCTCTCACAATTCCTGGGAGCATCCTGCATCTCCATGATGGCAATTCCAGCTGGGAGGAGACGCAGAAATCGGGGGTGGAGAGGCTGAAAGGCAGGTTCCCTGTCCATCAGCCTCGTGCAAACAAGAGAGAGGAGCAGGGAGGGATCTCTGCGCTTCCCAAAAACTTTACATAGATTTTCTTCAGTTCCCTGTCTACAAAATGTCTGCCAGGAAAAAAAAATCTGGAGCTTGGCAGGATGAAGCCTCACACGTGTATTGTTCGTGTAGCTATGGTAACCTACAAATGCCACCAGTGTTTCCATTTCATACACAAATGAGGGGACAGCTGTGGGGACCACATGTCTGCCAGTGGAATAATATATGTGAACTAGGATGGCTTGGTCACAAAATTACAACTCATCTATATTAATCAGGCCTTCAAAGAGCGGGCACCTCCGAGGCGACAGAGCCCGGGGAGAGAGGGGGGTGATTTCTGGGAATCTTGGGCTCCTCAGTAAATATTTTCAGCGTCTTGCTACTTTGCTGGTTGAAAAAAAAAAAAAAAAAATAAAGTCAAATAAACGCTGTTAACAACCAGCACTCTTCTACGAATGTCACTGAACGCTTTTCCTTTGGTTTTGTCTCCTTCTGGTGCCCGTGCCTGACACAAAGCCCGGCCTGGGACCAGGCATATGCTCCAAGGGGAGCCTGGGGAAGGAGCAGCTCCAGAAGAGGCAGAACTAACGTGGCACACAGCTCTGCAAACAAACCCTTTATTATTTTCATTCATCGATATCACTAGCAGGAATAAGAGCTTCAAAATAATTGATACAAAAAAATTTAAAAAAAAAATCATCTTAAAACATCGTTTAAATGAACTCGGGGAGTTTACATCATCCCTGACAACAACAAAAAAGAAACCTGCGGGCTCAGTAATGCAAATAAATCCCCTTTCCAGTAAATATGAAGCCGTGGGAGCTGCAGTACCAGCAATACTTGACCCAGGTTATGATTCATCCAAGGTGCTTTAAGTGTCCCTACAAATAAAACCATGGAGAGGGAATTTGCCGCCCGCCTTGGCAGCAGCAGCCAGGCAGCTGCAGCAGGAATCCAGCAGGAACACAGCCCATCAGGAAAAGTTTTCCCTGGCTCCTGCAGTGCCCTGATACTGGATGGGAGTGGAACAAAGGGCTGCAGAATCCCCTGGGATGGGCTGAGCCTCCCCCACCCCACCTGTGGCCATGGGCACAGCTCTGGGCACGGGGACAGCGATGGGATGAGGGGAGAGCTTGAAACGGGGCTTATTTAAAGGACCCCATTTGCTCCACGAGCTGGAACCAAATGCACAGATAGAACCATGGAATCACAGAATGGTTGGGCTGGAAGGGGCCTTAAAGCCCACCCAGTGCCACCCCTGCCATGGGCAGGGACACCTTCCACCAGCCCAGGGTGCTCCAAGCCCTGTCCAGCCTGGCCTTGGACACTCCCAGGGCTGGGGCAGCCACAGCTTCTCTGGCCAGCTGGTTTTAAACCCGGGCTCTGGCACCTCCATGGTTGTCTGAGCCCTGGTCAGACCCCTGAAGCTTCAAAAGAAGTTTCTTTCTGCAGCCCAAGTCTGGACATGCTCAGCATTATTTATGGCAGTAAAAGTTGGTTATCCTTTTATAACTGTACAACTTGATGCACAATCCTCCTTCCTTTAATAACCAGTACCGTTATTTGTGTCTGTTCCAGGTAAATGGAAAAGGACTTCACAGTCACCATAGTTAACTGGTCTGTTCAAGTCCAAAACGCCTCCTGGGAGAGATCATTTTGCAGGGACCACGTGCAAGGTCATGCAGGTAACTTTTGGCTGTCGAGGCTGAAGTTCACGGGGCAGTGATACAGGTGGCTGCAGAGCAGAGGGACGGGGGCACCGGAGGCACCAGCTGTGCCCTGCCCCGGGGGTGAGAGCCATGGGCTGAGGGGCAGGACAGTCCTGCCCTCTTCACTCCTCCCATCTGGGAAGCTCTGGGCATTGGTTTGTCTCCCTCTCAGCGTGTCTGTCTTTTAAATTACTGCAATTTCCAACTTGCAAGACTTTGGGACACACTTGGGTAGGATCCGTTGGGCAGCACTGGGACTGATGCCTCGTGTGACTTGGGTCATTGGAAGCCCTCTGGGAACCCTGGGTACATCTGAGCTATTCACCAGAAAAGGTTTATGATCTCCTTCAGAAAGATCATGTTCCTTTTATAGGGACCCTTTAAGTCCGTAAGGAAAAGACTTCAAGGTTCACAAATTAGTTTTTATTGAAGGGCTATCACGCTCTTCATTACTGGGGAGCTATCACACAGCTCCAGGACAAAAAAATAGAAGCTCCCTGTGCGTGATCTCTCACCTCTGGACAACATTATTGTCTGCTTCGAGTTTAATTCTGTTACTTTCCCTTTCATCGCCTGGTGGGAAAGGCGCCCCGAGTAACTTGGGGCAGAGCTAAAATCGCAGGCCAGCATCTGTTGTGCGGCGCCGGTGATGCTGAGCCCGAGGCACAAAGCGCCTCGTCCTCTCCCCTCCTCCTGCAGGGAGAGGGGCCGGCCCCGCGCTCAAAGGGCCCTTTGACAGGGGCGACAAAGGGGTCGGTCCCTTTGTCCGCCCGCGGCTGCGCGGGGAGAGAGCGGGGGCGAGAGACCCCAACCCCGGGGGCCGAGGGGACCGCCAGACCCCGAGCTAGAGCCCCCCAAACTCGGGGGGACAGGGACAGCCAGACCGGGGGCAGGGGACCGCCAGACCAGGGGTGAAGATCCGCGGCCGCCCCGCGCTTCTCCCCGCACCTTTTCGGTACCCGACTCCCCAAATCCCACCCCCCAGAGCGCAGGGGCGGTGCGGCCGGGCCCCGCTGGAGCATCCTTGCCGTGCCCCGCGCTCTGCCCTGCCGGTCCCGCAGCCCCAGGTGCGGAGCGGCCGCTCCGCCCGCAGCGCCCCGCGCACAAAGCCGCGGCCGCGGGAGGAGGCGGCGGAGCCGCGGCCGCGCTCACACTGCGCCTTTATGCCGCTTTCTGAAGGGCCATTGTCACACTGAAGGCTCCTTGTCTGCTCGCATTCCTGCGGGTGAATGGATGAGGCAGGACATCTGCCGGGATCCGCTCCCATTCGCATGCAAATGGGGACGCGGGCAGCGCTGCCGCACCGCCAGCCCCGCGCCCACCGCCGGCAGCCGGGCACCGATCCGCCCCCCAAACCCGCGATCCACCGCCACACCGGCCCGGGGGGCAGCGGAGCGCCCGCGGGGGAGGAGGCGGGCGATGCTGCAGCCGAACCCCGCAGCCCCGGCGCGGTCCCGGCGCGGTGCCGAGCGGCCGAAACCCCGCAGCCCGCGGGGACTCCCCCGGCAGCCCCGGGGGCACCGGGGGGCGCGTCCGCCGCCGCAAACTTTGCTCCCTCCGCGGGCTCTGCCCGGGAGATGTGCACGGCACACCCCCGCATCCCACTGCACATCCCCGCATCCCAGCGCCCATCCCGCATCCCACTGCACATCCCCGCATCCCAGCGCACATCCCCGCATCCCAGCGCACCGCACCGAATCCCAGCGCCCATCCCGCATCCCACTGCACATCCCCGCATCCCAGCGCACCGCACCGAATCCCAGCGCACATCCCTGCATCCCAGCGGAACGCACCGCATCCCAGCGCATATCACGCATCCCAGAGGAGCGCCCGCACCCGCGCAGCTCCCGCGGGTCCCGCTGCCTGCCCCGAGCCGCTCCGCACTCACCGCCGGCCGGGCGCTCCCGCGGGGCTCCCCCGGGGCTGCACATCCGCCGCTGCGCCGGGATGCGGAGAGGGGCGGCGGGTGGGTGGGTGAGTGAGCGAGTGGCCGGCCAGCTCCCGTCCCTGTGCCTGTGCCTGTGCCCGCCCGGCCGGGATTCTCCCGGATCTCTCCCGGTCTCTCCCGGGCCGGTCCCGCCCGCTCTGGAGCCGCTGTCGCGCGCACCTGGGAAGGCGCCGCGGGTCACGTGACGGGCCGAGCGCCCATTGGCTGCGCCCCGCGCCGCCACCGGCTGCGAGGGGCGGGGCTAGATGCGAACCCGCCCCCCTGGCCCCGCCCACCGGGACATGGCCCCGCCCCCCTCGAACCGTGGAGAGGATGCTGGGGTGCCCAAATTTCCAGTTGTCCATCCTTGGGTTCAGGGGAACAGCCCCTGGGGTGCCCGGATCTCCAGTTATCCATCCCTGGTCCAGGGGGAACAGCCCCTGGGGTACCCGGATCTCCAGTTGTCCATCCCTGGTCCAGGGGGAACAGCCCCTGGAGTGCCCAGATCTCCAATTGTCCATCCCTGGTTCAGGGGGAACAGCCCCTGGGGTACCTGGATCTCCAGTTGTCCATCCCTGGGTTCAGGGGGAACAGCCCCCGGGGTACCCGGATCTCCAGTTGTCCATCCCTGGTCCAGGGGGAACAGCCCCTGGGGTACCCGGATCTCCAGTTGTCCATCCCTGGTCCAGGGGGAACAGCCCCTGCCAGCCCCTGGGCAGTGTCAGTGCTGCCCTGCAGGACGTGCCGTGTCACTGGCACACTGTGCAGTTGTTTGGGATGACCTGACCGTGACGATGTCGCCATCGCATAACATGGGGTTATAACACACATAACCCATGTCTGAGGCAGAGCGTGGACCCGCCAGGGATCTTTCCACCTGCCCTTTGCTTCTAAATTTTTTCAAACTTCATTAAAAGTGGCACACAAGGGTAGTGACAAAGTGCTGTGGCCTGCCAGGATTCCAACACTGGGGTTTCTGTGCTGCGTGGAGAGCAAAACCTCGAGCCATGGAGACGGGAACTCGCTGTGCCCCACAACTGAGATGGCATGGGTGTCATCCAGGGCTGCTCAGTGAGGGATTGATGAGTTAACCTGGAGAAAAAGAGGCTACAATGTCCACCTGGTTCAGCCTGGAGAAGAGGAAACTGAGGGGAGAGCTCACAGCTCTCTGCAGCTTCTCCCAAGGGGCACTGGAGGGGCAGCTTCGATCTCTGCTCCCCATGACCAGGGACAGCCCCCAGGGAATGGCTGGAGCTGTGTCAGGGCAGGCTCAGGGTGGATCTCAGGGAAAGGTTCTTCCCCCAGAGGGTGGTTGGCACTGAACAGGCTCCCCAGGGCAGTGGGCACAGCCCCAAGGCTGCCAGAGCTGCAGGAGGGTTTGGACAATGCTCTGGGGACAGGGGGGGATTTGGGGTGCCCTGGGCAGGGCCAGGGGTTGGACTCTGATGCTCCTTGTGGGTCCCTTCCCACTCAGGCTGTTCCATACCTCTGTGATTCTGTGAACCCTGGGAGTCATTTGAGCCTGAAATTCGTGGATTTAGAGCTGTCTGGGTAAGCTCTTGGATATGTTCCACTGCCCCTTCCCTCCTGCTTTGCTGGCTCTGTTTTCATTTACCTTAGTTTGGAGTTACTGACTTGCCCATTTCTGCCCCTTTTCTCATCCTGACCTCGCTCCTCACCCCCTTCCCTGGCTCAGCTCCCCAGGAGCCCTGGATGGAGCTTCCAGTCCGACCCTAAGAACAATTAACCTGTATTAGACAAGGAATTTCTGGCTGAAGTTTTGGCACTGGTATAAAAACCCAGCTTTTCTTCATACCTTAAAACCTTTATTTCCTGCCTTTTTTTTTATTACTCCCTTAACCAACAGAAGGCAAAGCTGTGGCTGGGTGGTGCTGTGCTGCCTCATCCCTCGTGCCCTCTATTAAGATAATGGCAATTCTGTGTTCCTCAACAGGCACTGATGCTTTTATTGACAGATAATTGTTGGAGATATCGTTCACCCTCCAGCCCTGCACCAAGTGTTGCAATCACCTGAGCACAGCCTGGATGAAAAGGTGCTGGTTCCTCATCAGGCTGAGCTCAGCATCTCCCCCAGGCGTGGCCCAGAGTGGCACCTTCCCAGGAAATGATTTTACAGATTGGTTAAACAGTTTTTAATATGAGTTAACAACAAGTTAAACACGTGGCAAATACAGTCTGCACATAACGCTTCAGATTTCCTCCCAGGGCAATGAATTTTTTTCTGGGAGCCCAAAAGGTCATCTGAGTAACAGTAAAAGTGAAGTTTTTCATCCATAAGGAAATTGAATTTTCAGAAGGAGCTCATCAATGTCCAAAAAGCCGCTTTTCCTTCCACAGGGCCTGTTCTCATCCGTCTGGATGTTCCTTTCCCTTCTATCACTTATTCCTGATGTGGAAGTAATTCAATAGCGGATGTACCTTGGAAAATCCAGTGTTCTGAATGGCTCCAGCTCTTTGTTTCAGGGCAGGGGATTTATTTTCACTCTCTCAGCAAAATAAACCCATCCTTTCACGTGGTTCCAGGTCCCTCCTTGTCTCCTAACGGGCACTGGGGTTTGAGGGAACTGGCTGAGCCTTATTTCTCACACACACTACTGATGGTGTTGCTGTGAGGCTGCTCTGCTTCCCCAGGAGGCTCCTGGTCCCCTCCTGTGTCTGTACAGCCCAGAGGAGAGCCAGGGGTCTGGAACTGCCCAGGGGACAGTGTTCTCTGGCTTTAATTTTCATGAGCAGCTGAACACTTGTCTGTCACTGCAGCAGTGCTCTCTCCTTTCCAGCCTTTCCCTGTTTTAAATTACACACACAACAGGCCCCTCTCCCTTCCAAGATCCATGAGGAGCTTGTGAAACGTCACAATAATGTTGAGAGGAAAATTAAAAAGTCTTTCATTCCTACAAGATGCAAATGAGTGTTTCTGTGCAGTGAAGAGCAGTGGAAGTTGTTTCTCTCCCAGGCTGTGAGGTATCAACCGCTCAGGAGCAGCTGCTGCAGGACCTCTTGGACTAAGGGGAAGGTTTGCACTCAGGGAGAGAGGCAGTGGATTTTCCTCTCCATGCCATCACCCATGAGCTGGTTGAGGTACAATCTCGAAAATGTTTTCCTGTTATCAGTATCAGGCAGAACTAAGTGCTCTCCCAAACACTCCTGCCCAAGGGGTCTTGAAAAAGAAGGTCCCAGGAAAATACAAGATTTATGACCCTTTGGGCTGGACATTGCCCTTTTTGATTGCCTCTTTCTTTTCATCTTCTCTCCTTCTGTACCCTCTGACTTCAGCCCTTATTCCTCCATTGTCTTTGCCTTCAGCTGCTTCCCTGGTTCATCTTCATCCCTCCAGTGCTGTGGAGGGAGAGTGACATTCGCTGTGTCCGCTCCATTCCCGTGTCCGTTCCTCCTGCACTGCCCCATCCCTGTCTGCAGCTCTGGGACAGAGACCTGTCTGCTGGTGGGTGTCTTCACAGTGCCTGGCTTTAAAGCTTTGAAAGGGTCTAAACAACTCAGACAGGATAATAATAAAACAATGGAGCTCTGGGTGACCTGTCACGCACGTCGCTGCCTTTTCTCTCGGAGCAGACATCCTGCCATTAAGCTGCTTAACGTCCCAGTGTGTGCATAATCCATCCCCTGAACTGTGCTACGGGATCCCAAAGTGCCTTTTTGTACTGAAATATCAAGTGGGACTGACAGGTAGTAGGGGCACTGTCAAAAATAAAAAAGATTTGCTACCGGGCACGTGAGAATCTTGCCGTGTCCCAACAGCAGCGGCTCCCGATGGGTGGGAGATGGAAATAAGTCTGTGAGCACGGTTTGCAGCAGTCAGCTGGAATTTTTGGAGAAGGATTCTTGCTGAAGGCTTGTTTGTGGGTTAGGCAGAGAGAGAGATATTACAGTTGGAGTGTTGTTACAGGTTTCTTAGTGTGGGTGACACTTCTTGTGAAGCCACCAAGGTTTTCTCTTCGCCCAGGGTTTGGATGTGGATGTTTATTTTCAGAATTGCCTGAGTATGCTGGATTTATTCAGAAAGGGACCAGCACAGCACATGCAAATTACCCACCAGTAACTGTGTAAGCCAATGACCAATTACCTCAATAACTGGTGATTTGCATAATGCATTCCCAATTATGCATGCAGATATAATAATTGCGTGCACAAGTGGGGTGGGTGACTGCAGGTGCAGAGTGGGGATGTGATCACGTGAGCTGGGACCACAGAGAGCACCTGGGTGGGAGCAGCAGTGCACCAGCACCAGGGGCTGCTGCACACCCAGTTCAGTCCTGGGAAGATCCTTCTACCTGCATCACTCCTGGAATTGCTCTCTTTTTCCGGGAGAAGTGAAGCAGCTCTCCAGCAGCAGGGGTGTCGTGGTTCCCCCTCCTGGTAGTGACAGCACAGAGGCAGATGGGAACAGCTGGATGGGTTTATGTGGGGAATTCTGCATTAAGGAGTTAAGATGACACCCAGCAGTGTTTTTAAAGCAGGTCATTCCTTTCACACGCTATTCCATCTCACTTCTCTTATGTTTTATTAATTGGGAAGCTTTTTCTTTTGGTTGATGTTTCTTCCCCCAAATGATCTGTCGTGTGAATGTTTCATGAGGAGGGACTCTAATCTCCTTTCATCACTTTGCAAGGAACCCCCCAAAGCTTCTTAGAAAGCCAAAGCTCCTTAAAGACAATTGAGGAGCTCCATTGCAAGCACATCTTTTGTATTTACTGCAGCAGTAAGAGTGAGAACCCACGGAGCATGGAGCTCCTGTCCACTCGATTCCTGTCACGTGCTAATGGATGAACAGCCCTGGAAACATTCCCTTGCATCTCCTGAGCCAAGAAGTGATGCCCTGGGTGCAGCCAGTCGAAAACCTGCTGTTCTCAACCCTCCTGGAGCACAGGCTGGGCACAGACAAGGCTGAGTGTGCAGCTCTCGGAGAGCTGGGCTTAGCTCGGGTTTTAAGAGCTGAATTTGCAATTCCTTATGAGCAGGATGTGGAGGAGCTTCTCTGGGCAG